GAGCCACGTCTGGAAAACATTTCCCGAGCTGAGTGATTGCTGGAGAGTTTCCCTTTAACCACGTCGTTAATCTTGTTGCTTCACAGGCTCGGGGAGGCCTTTCCTCCCCCCCATTCGCTTGGCTGCTTTTTTTTCCCCCTATTAAATAAACAGATCTCGGAGCTCCGGGGCAGAACATACCCATGGAAAAGGTCAGGCTGGCACGGGGAGGGCTGAGAAGGACACGGAGCCCCCGCTCCCGGCCCCAGCATCGGCCTGGGAGCAGCAGGGGCTGGAGAGGGGTGCAGTGACCCCGACCGTGGGTGGCACTGGGGACCCAAGTGGGGTCTGTGCAGAGCACAGGGATCTGGGATTGTCTCCCCTTCAGCCCATGGGTACTGAGGTGAGCAGGGTCCCACCAACCTCATCCCTCCCCGAGGAGGGGAGAGGTGCTGTTGGTCACCCCAAAAGCTGCTCTGAAGCAGGAGGGACCCCAGCACCCTGCTGTCCCAGTGCTGGGGACCTGTTGCCCAGGGCTGGATGGTTCTGTGCTGCCTTCTTGCAGCCCCAACCCTCCTTTGTCCCCATCTGCACTGGTATTTCCAAGCATCTCACAAGCACTGGTTGGGGGGTCCAGAGGTGGGAGAAACCCCTCAGCTGCTGCCTGTACCTCACCAGGGGGACCCCATCCTGCCCAGACGTGGTGGCCCCATCAAATGTTTGTGTCTGAACTCAAATCAATTCCTCCTGTGTCAGGAGCAGCCGATGGGACAGGGAGAAGCCGCACGTCCTCGTGTGCTGGGTGCTGGCCATGTCCCTGTCCCTCCCCGACACAGAGGGCTGCACGTGGGGAGGATGGAGCAACATCCCAGTGCTGTGTATGGGGCTCCTGGGGGGGACAGAGGGGCCTCGGGAGCCCAGCAGCCCCCAGCACCCGGCCAGGCTCCCTGGGCCAGGGCAGAGCAGACGGGGATGCGATGTTCACAATCCATCCCCAAACCCGATACCTCCTTCGAGGCCTGGCTTGTTTGTTCAGGCCTGGAGCCCGACCAAAACAAGCTTCCCTGGGCGGCTCAAGTGGATTGGGAATGCCGAGGAGCAACAGCAAAACATCGCTGTGGGCTGCCTCCGAAAGCAGAGGGGAGTGCTGTGGGGTGCGGTGGGATAATGGGGTGGGATGAGCTGGGATAACGGGATGGGGTAACCACTGCCCAGTGCCCCGCTGCCTCGTGCTCCTTGGGGCTGCAGTGTGGGGCATCACTGCCCACCGCTGCCCAGATGTGCAGCCCCACATCTGTTTCAGTTATGTGCACTTGTGGTGGGACCCACAGCCCCTGCCTTGTTGGGCATGCCTAGAGGTTGTGCTCACCCCAAGAGAAGCTCAGAGCTTGGGCACCCAGGGCAGGGAGGCCAAGGAGCAGGTTCCCCAAGGCAGGAACCCCGGGCACACGTACCCCAGGCTGTGCATGCACAGGAGACCCAGCAGGTCCCGCAGTGATGGAGACTCACTGCCCCCGGCTGGGTGGTGACAGGCTCTGCTGGTCCCTCTGGGGCATCCCGGCATGGCTTTCATGGATCAGCATTTTCCAGCCTTTGAGGAATTTGTCGTCTAGTGTGGATGAGGGAACAGCCCTGCATGTCCCTGCTGCCCCATAGCCAGGAGAGGCTCCTGGGCCACCCCGGGACCCCACTCGGTGCATTCAGCCCAGCCCCAGTGCTGCTGCCTGGCATCATCCAGGAAATCAGGGTGCAAAGCCACCCAGGTCCCACTGCATCCACCACCAGGACAGGGATGTGGCCGTGCCGGCGATGCCATTGGCCTGGAGGGTCAGTGATGGCTGGGACAAGCCGCATGCCCTCATCAGGACAAGCACCCAGAGTGCTGCTGCTGTGTCCCGCGGGATGAGCCGTCGGGAGCTGTTCCTGGGTCTGACGCAGGCTCCCGCAGATGGGGCTCCATCAGCGCTTGAGCTCTCCGGAAGGAAATGCCGCTTCCTGCTTCCAGTCATGGGGATGGGGAGAGCCGGGGTGGGGGCACCCCCATGGGCACCCCACTGCCCTCCACCCTGCAGCCACCAACATGTCACAGGGCCACAGGGAGCCATGGGCCCCACTCAAAGTCTTACCAAGCGCCAGGAGCTTTTGCAAAGCCCATGAGTGGGAACATGGTGGAGCTGGAGCGGTTTTGGTGGCTCCTGCCCTTAGGTCCCTCTCTCTGCTGCCTGCCAACAGCCTTCCCGAGAGCTTTCCAGCATCCTGACCCAGAACAGGGAGCGCTGATCTCCACTGTCCCTGCTCCATTGTGGTGGGACCACGAAGAGCCATGGCAGGGGGGATAGCAGGATACAGGCAAGCACTGGTAAGCTACAGCACCCAGCAGCTGCAGTACTCACACTGCAGCACCCTCATCACCCACAGCATCTGCAGCACCCACAGCACCCATCCTCCTCCAGGGAGTCCCCACCTGGTGCAAACAGGTTGCAGGGGAGATGCTGACCCGGCACAAGACCCCCACGCATCTCTGCTGGCCCAGGCAGGCGCTACGAGGATGCCGCACCCATGGGCGCTGCAAGCAGAGCCCCCCCGTGCCCTCACCCACCTTCAGCAGCCACTGGGTGCTGTTCTCCAGGACGCTCTCGAGGTGCCGCAGGCGCTGGGCCGCGCGGTGGCCGCCGTGCGCGGTGCCGGCCGGCGAGTCCCGCTGCAGGAGCGCGTTGGCCGGGCCGGGGGCAGCGGCGGCGGCGGCGCAGGGCGCGGGGTCGGTCTCGGGCAGCACGAAAGTGTAACTGCAGTGCCCGTGCTGCACCCGGTGGTAGCGCCGGCGGCTGCCCCCGTCCAGCGCCCGGCGCTGCGCTCCGGCCCCGCACAGCGCGGCCACGGCACAGGTCAGCGCCAGGAGGCCGAGGCTCAGCGCCCGCATGGTGCCGCTTGGTACCGGGTGGGAGCCGGGATGCTGCGGCCGGGGATGCCGGCGGCTGGGTCAGCGGGCTCTCGCCGCCGAGCCGGAGCGCGGCAGTTTTGGCATTTCCTCCCTCAGAGCCGGCTCCGGGCTTTTATCGGCGGGGGGAGAGGGGGAAAAAACCAACCCCGGAATGAAAACAAGAGGAAAAAAAACGGTTTGAAAACAATTCTGTGCCTTTTTGCTCCCCCCCGAGCCCACTGCGCGCAGATCAAGTTTCACACGTGATCGCTGCATGCCTCGCACACACACGCACACACACACACAAGCACCCATCACACACACACACCACACACCCCCCCGGCCGCTCTCTGCACAGCTCATTGCACCTCCCAGCCCCGGTACCCACCATCCAGCCCCGACACCGGGTGAGCCCCCCACAGTAGTACCCAGTGGGTCCCAGCACCCCCGGGGCACCCCCATCCCGGCAGCAAGAGCTCCCTCCCTGCATCCCGGCTATTTATAACATGGGATGGAGCCAGGCCTGGATTTGGCCGCGGGATGAGCCCGTGGGGACCAGGATGGGGGCTGAGTCTCAGGCGGAGCTTGGCAGGACCCGGCCAGACCCTGCAGAGGGCTTGGGGTGCCCAGAACTCAGACTGGGGGTCCACTGGGGATCCCTTCCCAGTGCAGCTTGCAGCCTATGTGCTGGTATAGATCAATGCTGGGTCCCCCAGGAGGGGACAATGACAGAGTGGGGATGCCCGAGCACCTCAGGAGGAGGTGGTTTTCTCCCAGCATTGGGGACAGACGGGTGTCCCAACACACCAGGCTGGTCACACAGCCATGGAGCTGGAGAACAGACCCTGGTCACTGCAGGATGCTGTGAGCCCAATGAGTGGGGTGCTCCAGGCCCCTCCATAGGAAGTGAGAGAGCTCCAAGGGGCCAGTGGCAGCAGTTGTGCCTTCACAGTAAGCGGATTACACTGCTGAACCCAGCCATAGCTGCGAGACCTGATACTGTCATTTCATTAGCAACCGGCTGGATGAGCCCCTCAGTGCTTCCCAGTGGCAGAGCTGAGCCCGGGATAGCTGCAGGAAGCATCCCCAGAGAGGATCTTCCCTCTGCCTCCAGCACCGAGTGATGCTGGGGGTGCTTTAACGGCTTTAAAGTCTCTCCTCAGACTCCCCCCCGTGCCTGGTGGCCAGGGCAGGGTCCTGGCGGCTCATCCCCATCCTCGTGGGGATGGCTCCTGCTGGGAATGAGGACTGCAGGCAGGCAGGGCCGTGCCGGAGGTTTTGTGCGTTTATTGGACATGAAGCGAACAGCTCCGGGGCTGGCTCGATGCTGACACCCAGTGCTCTCATCCTGAAGGGTCTGTGCGGCCCCCGCAGCCCCCATGTGCCAGTGCCAGACCTCGGGATGGGGGCTCGGACCCCGGCACACCCCCAAATGCAGCAGTGCCTGTGGCAGCAACATGAGCGAGCACACATTGAACCTACTGATAGACTCCTTTATGGACGTTCAGCTGTGAGTTCTGCAGGTGACGTGAGCGTGGCTCAGCACCCCTGCTGATGGCTGGGATGAGGCTGCTCCCAGGGCATCCACCGGGCAATGCTGGAGGCAGCACCATTCCCTGCTCCAGTCGCTGCGGCGGCATCATGAGTGCCCTTGTCCTGGACTGAGCGTGGCTATGGGATCCCAAATTCCTCTGCCCACATCCAGCTGGGGAGAGAAGTTCTTCCAGCCCTTCTGTAAGCCTGACGACGGCAGGATATGGTCCATGGTTGTGCTGGGGGGGGGATGCTGAGCACTGGGCTGGTCTCCAGAGGGGTCCCATCCTTGGCATCCCACTGTCCTCTGTGCCACTAGCTGAGGATGGGAGGACTTGTATGGCACCAGAGCATCCCTGTGCAATCGGGACCCCGTGGGAGCAGAGCATCTCCCAGCCCTGAGGGATGATCCGCAGGCAGACACCATCTTCACCAGCAGGGTCCAACCCCATCCCAGCCGTCTGGAGCACAGGAAGGGACGGCGCAGGCTGGGGGAGAGGGAAAACCAGCGAAGTGAAGGAGCCACCCCCCTCCCCAAGCCCCAGGGCATTGCTTTGGACGCTGCAAATTAGATTTTCTGAAAAGGAAATGTTTTACAGGCCATAAATTGTGTCAAAAGAAAAGGGGGGGGGGGGGGGGAGAGAAAACGTTGTGCAATTGTGTTGTGGATGGAAAACTGGGGTGATGCGGCTGGGGCAGCGCGGTGGGAGCCCTGGCCAGGGGCTCCGAGAGCTCCCACCCTGCTCCCACCGCGCCGCCCCAGCTCCAGTGCTGGAGCCGCTAAGTACCCGCCTCTGGTTCTGTCTTCGGCTTCTTCTGCCTCTTCTTGCCTTTATTTTTGGGTTCGGTTTTCTCTGGAACGGGAAAGAGGAGAAAAGGAGGGATCGCTCATCAGGACCGAGCCCCATCCATGGGGTGCACACCCCACATCCTCCCTCCGGTGTGAGGCAGGACCCTCTTCCCAATCTGGGGGACCCCAAAGCCCTCTCCAGGTCACCAAACAGCAGCATGGGGGGGTCTGAGTGCTGGCAGCATGGGCAGAGGAACACCAGTGCATTGCCCCCCAGCTTCCACGGCCAGATCCTAAATTCTGGTACCCCAAAAATCTCCAGGAATGGGTTGGGAGATGCTTGGCCAACCTAGGGGTACACCTGAGGTACCCCCAACTTCTCTCTGAGCAAGGACTGGGGATGCTGGAGCACAACTATGGCTGCATCAGCGCTCCAAAGCTGTGCCACAGCTCTCCCATCCCTGTGTGGATGCTCCTTGACCAGGCACCAGTGGAGCTTGGCTGCATCCTGCTGCCAGCCTGCAGGGACTGGGCACTGGTGGTCCCCAGATCTTGCACACGCCAAGGGACTCCCCAAAGCACTGGTTGAGGTGTTGGTGCTGAGACACCAAAGCAAACAGGGATGCAGGAGAAGATCTGCTGTGCCATGGGTTCCAATGGGAAGGGGAACCTCTACTTGGGAGAGGAATGGCTGCCCCAAAACCAGGAAGCTTCACTTCTTCTGCCACCCATGCGCTCTCCTGACTTAAAGGTGGGTGATGAGGGGTCTGGTGCCCCTCTCTCCACACATCCCCTGTGTGAGGGGCACGGGGCCGGTGAGCGGCCGGCGCTGCGTGCGCCGGCACCGCTGCGGCCGGTCCTTTCCGATGGCTCAGTCTCCTTTCCCTGCCCATCTCTGTTTTCCAGCTCCGCTCTCCCAGGCGGCTGCCACCCACCGAGGCGAGGGCACAGCACGAACGCCGAGCGCGGCAGACACACAGGACAGATTTACAGCAGCGCGAGGGGTTTGTGCCTCGGCCAAGCGCGGATGCTTCCCCCTTCCAGCTGCCTGCGGACGGCTTAGAAGTGGTGGCACAAATCTCTCCTCACACGCTCGGGCCCCGCTGCTGCCTTCCCCGGCTCGCCCGGGCTGGGGGTGTCTCGGCTGCATCCAGTGAACTCATTGTCCTCCTCCAGCATCTGGATCCCATAACCCAGCACTTGGCTGGGCGGGCAGGAGCCTGGGAGCCAGGGCAGGGGACACTGAGCAGCCGGCCCGGTGATGATGGGCACTGAGGGCTGCCCTCTCCTGCCTCCTGGCTGGGGTAGTGGGGCTGCTTGTGAGGCACTGATGGGTTCCCCTCTGCCTTCCCAGGGCTAGATCTAACCCCAGATAGCATCCTTGAGGAGCCCTGATGCTCCCCGAGCTCATCAGCTCAGGGACAAGAGCCCAAGCGCTTTTCCAGGGTGCTGTTGCCTTCTCAGTCACCTCCCAATCCAAGGCACCTCTGGAGCACTGGAGTGGCATTCCCTGCTTCCAGGACAAGGCTTGGGGCTGCAGACACCCGGCACCCCGCTGCGGGACACTCTGCTCCGGAACAGCCAGTCCTGGCACACCATAACGGCTGCATCAAACTGTCACCAGCTCGCTGGGTCCAGAGACAGAGCAGCCCAGCGGGGATGGGAACGTCCCCCAAATCGATGCCACCTGGCACCCCAAGGCCGCGAGCCAGGGCCCGGCTGGGGAAGGAAATCGGCTCCTCTGTGCTGTCAGCAGTAAAACCTGATTTACGATTGATAGCGCTGGGACAAAGCTGCTCTTCTGGCTCCACGGCCCCAGCCTCGGCACGCACGTCCCATCACTGCCCCCATTGCTCCATCCTCGGGCTGGTCCCTTCCTTGGGGTACCGCGGCGCTGCCACGCTGGCGGTGCCGGCCGGCACGTCCGCCGGCACAGCGCGAGCCCGCGCCTCGGGCCGGCCAAGCGCCGCGGCTCAGATCTGCTGCCAGGCCCGGCACATCCGTATCCCATTGCAATCCCCCCCCCTTCTGCCAGTTGTGAAGGGGAGATTTATTAGAACGGCTTCGGTCCAGCCGGTCGCATCCAAAAATGACATCAGCCGCCTCCTTGTTCCCAGCGCCAGCCACGTGCCCGCACGGCCCCGGCAACCAGGGATGGGACATGGGAGACGTGGTGGGAAGCCCTGAGCCAGGGAGCTCAGTGCCGAGGAGCCCCCAGCCCATGGGACGTGGTGCTGCCACAGTGCGAGAAGGCACAAGAGCAGGGGCCAACGTCTGGCTGGGTTATCCATGGAGAAGAGCTCTGTTCTGGGATATCACCCAAGGCTTCGGCCATCAGAAGCCCCCTGGGTGATGCCTTCAAGCTCTGTGAGTGTTTCTGGGGTTAGTGGGTATCGAAGGAACCTTTCCTCTGTTCTCAACCCTCCTTATTCACAACTGTGCTGCAGAAAGCTCTGGCCGTGCTTTCCTCTCCCTTGCCAGCCTCATTCCATCCCAGAGGCTCCCACCAGCGGCCAGCCCAGCCCAGCAGTGGATGCAGACACCGACCGGTGCCAGGAGCTGCCGCAGGGGTCCCCCAGCCCCTCGGCCAGGACCAGGACCAGCACCAGCACCGGGGCTGCAGAGCACATGTGCCTGTAACTCCAGTTACAGCCGCCGGCCGCAGGATGCCGGGGGTGACAGCCGGGCTGTGGGACAGATGCTATGGGGCGGGCTGTAGGGCAGGCTATGGGGCGGGCTGTAGGGCAGGCTATGGGGCGGGCTGTAGGGCAGGCTATGGGGCGGGCTGTAGGGCAGGCTATGGGGCGGGCTGTAGGGCAGGCTATGGGGCGGGCTGTAGGACAGGCTATGGGGCGGGCTGCCCGCGATGCGATGCTCACCTCCTGGGCAGTGCTTCCTCATGCGGCACTTCCGCGTCTCCAGCAGCGCGGGGCAGGCGGCTCCTTCCTCCCGGGCGGCCCCCGACACCTCCCGGACCCGCGTCTCCACGCCCCACTTGCAGCCGCAGGTCCGGCTCTCGTGGGTGCAGGGGCTCCACTCGCTCCAGGGGCCCGGCTCGCACGTTTCTGCGGGGGACAGGGGCGCAGAGCGGGGCCGGTGACCGCGCAGCACCGGGCATCACCCCAGGGACCACGGGGATGGGGTGCGGGTGCTCCTTACCTTGGCACTCGCGGGTGCCGGGCTGCACCGCGGTGCTGGGGGGGCACTGCCGAAAGCACTGGCCCTTGTGCAGGTAGAACTTGTCTTTGCACTTCATGCAGAAGTCTCTGCTGAAGCAGCTCTCGCAGCTCGGAGACCTGCACTCTGTGAGGAGGAGGGATGCTCAGCCGGGAGAGCCCGGAGCCCGCAGCCCCGGTGCCCACCAGGAACCCAGAGCCCTTTGGCAACCTGTGGGGTCTGGGATGGGAAAAGGGGAGGGAGCCCCATGGCCACCGGCTCTGTGCCACCATCCATCACCCCTCCCGGGGCACTGGGACCCGCAGCGGGGCACTGGGAGGACCCCGGGACCTACTCGTGCATCTGTTGACCTCCAGTCCCCGCACGCCGAAGTAGCCGGGGGGGCAGGTGTGGACGCACATCCCGAACTGGCGGATGCCGTCCCTCCAGATGAGCAGGAAGAGCCGGTGGTGGCAGGTGATGCAGCCGTTGTCCTCGGAGCACAGCACGCAGCCCGTGCAGTTCTCCAGCAGGCCGGCGCTCGCTGCGGGGACACACACACACACGCATGGCATGGCCAAGGTGCCAGGGAGGGTCCCAGCCCCCTGCCATCCCCATGGGGGTGACAGCACTGTCCTGAGCCCCTGCAAACACCTCCCCAAATCCCTGCTGTTTGCCTGTCTGCCAGCATGGGAACGCGCAAATCCATTGCTCCCCACTACTTGGGCATCACCCCCTCCGACACCCCAAGATCCAGGGCTGAGGGTTCACCCACGCCCAGGCTAAGCCCTGTCCCTGCAGCACCAGCCATCCCCAGCCCGTGAGAAGCATCCTAATGGGAGCTAAACAACAGCTCTGGCAGTAGAAACATGCTCTGACCTGGATTAATTGGTTGATGCCTGTTAAGTGTCAGGGGACAAAGGGATTTTGGAAACACTCAAGAGGAGCCGAGATAAGGATCTGTCTGGTTGCTAAAGAGCCTCTGCCGCCTCCTTGGCTGCCTCTGCCGTGCTCCTGACCTGCGTGAGGGCAGCAGGCCCCACGGTGGGCTCTGCTCCCAGCGAGGACGGGTGCCAGCCCCCCCCCCCCCCCAAGCCCGCAGCCCCAGCAGAGCCCATGGAGATCCTGCCAACAGCTCCTCCTGGATCCCAGTGCCGGGGAAATGCGGCCCGGGGAGATGCTCCCGGCATGGATCCAGGTTGCAACTGGGGGCTACTAGCACCCGGGCTCTCTTTGCACCCCCAGGCTGGCTGGGCATCTCTGTAAGAGGCCTGCGAGCTCCTGCACGGGCGGCTGACATCTCTGCTGTGTTGGGAAGGGTTTGCTTGGCTCCAGCACCTTGAGGTCCTCTGGATGCTCCCGAGCAAAGGCTCCTGTTGCACAGCAGTAACAGAGCCAGTGCCAGACTCCATCTGCCAGCACATCTTGGAGCATCAAAATGTTTTTTTTTTGCGCTTGGTAAAGGTCTAAGGAGGTGTCTGCCCTGGGCAGAGCAGAGCCCAGAGCCTGCAGCTGGGACAGACAAGGGCTGATGCGGATCCCTGGATCCAAGCTCTAGATGGGACCTGCCCTGGATAACTCTGAGCCAAAGGAGCCAGACATGAGCTTCACCCCCGGGAGCGCTGCCCAGCACTGCTCCTCTCTGACCCCAGGAGCTGACAGCAGCAGGAGCCCCATGGCTGCGGTGCCAGGGCAGGCAGAGGTGGGCGCTGGGGAAGCCAGGAAAGATGCTGGGAGCTGCCTCAATGTCCCTGGCGCAAGCCCCTGGTGCAGTGGTGCCGTGTACCGGTCCCCAGTGAGGCTCACCCCTGTTCCCTCCCCGCAGCACAGGGGCCTGGACAGTGGCAGCGGCCACGAGGCTTCGTTAGTGCCGTGGCTGCTGGGAGCGCGCTAACGAAGCACCTTGGATCCATTAAGTTGTTATGGTCTCCGTTTCATATTTACCAAACGCTGACAACATTTGTGTTCCTGGCTGCAGCCGGAGCCGCTTCCCTGGAGACTTCCCAGGGATTTACGAGCTTCTTTCCCTTCCCTTGCTCTTTCTGAGGACTTTTTCTTTGCCGCTCTCTTTCCAGCCCCCATGTGGGGCAGGGGAGGTGGGAGCCCTCCCAGGCTTTAGAAATAGCCCCGGGATGCAGAGCTTGGGAAGGGTTGGCCAGACAGATCCTGCTCCTTGGCACCATGAGCATCACAGCTACCGGCATGGCACGTGCCACTGTGCCGGGAGCGACACCAGGGAGCTGCTGGATGGCTCTGCCGTATAATGGGATGTGCCACGCACCAAAAACAGGACTAGGGAAATTAGGGTTACCGCTGCCCATCAGTGCCTGCAGAGCCAGTGTGCCAGACATGAGGGACATCACCCATCACTGCCCAGCTCTGCTACCATGGGCTCTGTTGGCACTGCTTGGACCACCCCTCCAGGGCAGCAGAGCTCATGGAGGCAGCTCCTGTTTGCAGTGGGGTAGTGGTGGAGTGCTGCAGCATCCCCTCAGACCTTCCAGACCCTACAGACTGCGCCAGCCCTTCTGCATTGCTTGTAGCAGGAGACAGAACGTGTGTTTGAGGTGCAGAGCCATGGTCAGACCCCTGCCGAGTCTCCCGTGCATCCCATAGCATGAGGCTGCTCAGCATCCTGAGCTCCTCTCAGTGCCAGTCAAGCCTCAGCCACTGCCAAGGAGACACGAGCCAGTGCCCAAAGGAGGGTGCGTGTGCCTTGGCAGAGCCCTAGCACCAGCAGCAGTTCGGCTGGTGCAGGGGACAGGCAGTGCCTGCAGCGGCTCTCAGCATCCCCCCAAGAGATTTTACTCCCAATGCTTTAAGCAGAGAAATACCAGAAAATCACCCAGTTCTGCTCTATCCCACCTGGGGCTTGCACAAGCAGCCCCTGTGCCAGTTTCCCCTCTCCCTTGCCCCGAGGGCAGGGCTGGCAATGCCATGGGACAGCACTTCGCCTTCTCCACATGCCTCTGCACCAGCCCCGTGCCATGCACCGGGAGGGGAAGCAGCCGGTGTCCAACGGGCCCCGAGGGGTTGGGTTGGGGAATGCAGATTCCCGGCTCCTTCCAGCTTCACACCTCCAGCACCGGCAGAGGAGGTCACTGCCTCCATTGTCCCCATGTACCTGAGCGGGACGATCCGGCCGCGCACGCACCGTACCTTGCTTCTTCCATCGGTTCTGCGTGAGCATTTCCATGGAGCTGATGAATAACAGCAACATGAATATTATCCACTGCATCTGGGCAGGAGGCGGTTCGGGCAGGGAAGGAATCAAAGCATCCAAGCGGCTGCGGGCTCGTCGCCTCCCTCCGGAGCCAGCCGAGGGGCGCTGGGAAGGAGGGAGCAGAGCGGCTCCGGGCTCACTCCATCCCACCGCGGGGCTGCCGCGCTTTAAGGGAGCGGGAGCCGGGTGGGCAGGGGCTCATGGCGGTGGGACAGCGCCGGCCGCTCCGGGGAGCTCTGCCTTTATACCCGCTGCCAGCCCCCCCTTCTCTATAATAACACCAAGACCCCCCCCCTCCAGCAGCGACAGAGCCGCCTGCGGGCGAACCGGCTGCAGAGCCCGCGGCCGGGACCCGTCCCGCTGCCCCACCGCGCTCCGACTGTGCCGCTGCCATCCCAGAGCCAGACCCACGCCGGACCCCTGTGATTTGGGGGGGCGGAGCCAGGCTGTGACGCTGCCTGAGACAGCCCCCCCCCCTTCCCCGGGCTGCTGAGCCTGGCCGGGAGCCGTGGTGGGGTCCGGCTCCTCCGGCTCTGGATCTGCTCTTTGCTGTCCCAGGGCTGCAGCTGACTCTGATTTATCCGAGTCAAGAACTCACTTCCCTCAGCTGCTGGAGATGAGCTGAGCCCAGCTGGGCTGAGTGGAGCTGAGCCCGGCTGAGCCACGCTAAGCCGAGCTGCACTGAGCCAAACTGAGCCGTTCTCAGCCCCCCCCTCGTCCTTGCCCCATTCAGTGCTCCCCAAAACGCACCCCAGGGAGCTCTCAGTTTGCCCACGGGCTGCAGGACAGGAGGGGAAGGGGGCTTGTCTGCAGCGCCTTGGTCACCAGGTGAGCCCTGGGTGCCCGTCCTGGCAGCTCCATGTGCTCATCCCACCGTGCTGGCATGTGCCAGCCCCAGCGGCCGTGTGGGACAGGGAAATGAAAGGAGCAAGGATTGGATCCCAGCTTTTGGGGTAACCCCAGTGTTGCTCGAGCTGGGCTCAGGTGGCTCTGCCATTACACTGCACCCCATGGAGATGAGTTGGGTTTGGACCTTGGTCCTGATGGTTTCCAGGCAATCAACAGTTTCTGCTTCACTCGTGCAGGTTGCACTGGTTGAACTGGGATTTGCCCTCTACCCCCGTGAATTTCTCCCTCCATCTGCCCCAGCCTCCCTGAACATCTCCCTGCACTGCTCCCATCCAGCACCACCACGTTTCATTCCCAAGGAGTTAACGATTCAGACAACAAAGAAGCCGTTTCACCCCCTTTGGCCTGGCCATAGGAAACCAGCAGCAATAATGGTTGGGATCACTTTAGGTCTGTTTTTTTCTAATGCCAATGAATTGAAATACTCCGAATAAATGCCAAAGAAATTGAAAAAATACCCATAAAATGCAGGTTTCCAGCAGCTGGCTCAGCCTTACTTTCCATAAACAACCGAGCCCTCAACACAGCATTCCCATCATGGATCTGCATGGGCTTGGGGGATCTGTGGGCATGGGCATGGCGCTGCCATCCAGCACAGGAGCTGGGTACGGCAACGGCATTGGAGCTACTTGAGTATGGGCTGCAACGGTGCTTGTGGGTGACTGGCTCCCCAGGAGCTGCTTGGGAATTGTCCTTGTCAGACACGGAAGGGAAACGCAGTGCAAGGGAAGTGCCTTGGCCCCGGCTCCTGGAGCAGGCTTGTGGATGCTGGAGCAGGCTCTAATGAGGTTTCTCTCATTAGCGAGGGCTCCCCGGGGACAGCACGTGGCAGTGTGCTCACACTCATCACCGGCTTTGCCAGGATCCTGGATCCCTGCTGCTGGGTGCCGGGTGTCCCGGAGGGAGCAGGGAAACCCTCTCCTTCTGCTCTCTGTGACTGCTGCTCTGAAGACTGCAGTGGGAAGGAAGGGAGGATGTGCTGTCCGCTGAGTAATCCAGCGTGGATCCCCTCTCTTGTGCCAGGAAGTGCTCTGGGGAGCCCGGATTAATGCTGCCGGGGTGGCAACCACAGTGACTCAGGGTGATGCCGGGGAGCAGCCACAGCCAGCGCACAGGGAATGAAATGTTCCTCCTCTGCCTTCCAAAGCACCAGGAAGCAAGGGTCCAGGAAGATCGTTTGGAAAGTTTGTTTGACACTTGAGCATGCTTTCATCTCTGGAGAAATCTTGGTGATTCTCCAAGGCAGCACTGCCTGCTTCCCAGAGCACCACCCCAGGGGCTGCTTTTGGGATAACAGGGGCTCTGGGTGGGACAGCGTGGTCCTGGCAGGGCCACAGGTTAGTCAGGAATACTGGCACGGGGATGCTGGCAGAGGGATGCAGGCACAGGGATGCTGGCACAAGATGCTGGGGCAGGGATAGAGGCACCAGGGTTGCTGGCACAGGGATGCTGGCACTAGGGATGCTGGCACGGGGATGCAGGCACCAAGGGATGCTGGCACAGGGATACAGGCATAAGGATGCTCCTGCCCAAGGTAACAAAGTGAAAATGAAACAGTTGGAGGTGGCTGGAAGCAGGGGGAAGGAGGCAATGAGGGGCTGCGAGATGGATGGAGCCCCTGGATGAAGGCAGGGTTATCTCCCCACCTGCAATGAGCTTCCCATAGGCTGGATCAGCCGCTGGGAGGGAGATCTCCTCCGGAGCAGGGGCCCTCGTGCATCCAAGGGGTGAATGTGGGTTTGATCAGGGAGGGTTTGAGCGGATGGTAGTGGATAAGGAAGAAAAATATTTGGCATTCCTCTCCCATCATAACAGGGCCAGATGCTTGGACGGTGGCAGGCACTTCCCACAGGAATGGAGTCACAGCCGCTCCCTGCTCCGCAGAGGCCCTTTCCCTTGTGCTTATGAAATGCCGGCTCCACCTAACCCAGCACCGTGGTGCTTGCCAGCATCCCTGGTCACGGTGGCACTGATCGGACCCCCACCCGGGGCAGGCAGAGCCCGGAGCCCAGCGGATGCGCATGGAAACCTGCTGGGAGAGGCCGAGCTGCAGATTTACTGCCCATGTGGGAGCCAGGTGTGGTCGGGCGCTCCAGGAACAACTGGCCTGGCACAGCGTGGTAAGGGAGGAGAGCTCCAGTGATGCTGGTGCCACAGGAGATGCAGTGGGAAGCAGCTCCTGCCTGGCCAGAGCTGGTGGGAGCAGATGGGCTCTGTGTGGCCAGAGGCAGCTCCATCCTTGGTGACAGGATGCTGATGGCTCTCCCAGGCAGGAAGGATGGTGTAAGGATGGCTAAAAGAGGGGAAATGGAGATGAGCTCTTAGGCAGAAGCTCTTCCCTGTGAGGGTGCTGAGGCGCTGGCACAGGGTGCCCAGAGAAGCTGCGGCTGCCCCATCCCTGGCAGTGTTCAAGGCCAGGTTGGAGCAAGCTGCTCCAGTGGAAGGGGTCCCTGCCTGTGGCAGGGATTGGAGCTGGAGGAGCTTTCAGGTCCCTTCCACCCCAAACCAGCCTGCGGTTCTGCGGTTCTATGACACCAGACATCACACACTCATAGCACACTTGCTCTCCTCCTGCCTTCAGCCAGTCCTGGGCCTGCTGAGCCTGGTGCTCTCAGGCGGATGTGGCACCCCAGGAGCTTTAAGTCCTGCCTTACGGTTTAGGACGTGCCTCAAACCCACGCTCCATCCCTCAGGAGCACCGTTGCTCCCCTCCCGCGGCTCCTCTGGCTCGGCTCCGGCTTGGCCGCCGGTGCAGCCGCGCAGCCTCCGAGCGCTCCGGCTGCCAGAACAGAAGCAAAGCCCAAAGACAGATTTGGTGTCGAGCAGCGCCGGAGGCCGAGGGGCAGCGGGAGGAGGAGCCGGAGCCTGGAGCAGGAAGGGGCAGGCGAGCGGTGAGGTTCGGTGCCGAACCCGAGCTGGCGGCGCGTGCCAGGGGCGCGCAGTTCCAGTGTTTATTTGATCTCTTTCCTTGAGCCCCTTTTGAGGCAGAATATATTAAAATGGTTGGACTTTATATAATGGGAATAATTGAAACAATATTCCTGCTTCCCGGCTGCGGTTTGGTTCCAGCCGAGGGTGTCCGGGCCTCCTCGAGGTGCTGGGGCCGCCGCCTGTTCGCTGGTTATTGTTGACACATGTCAGAGCCGTTTCCGTACGGCTGCCGGAGCGGGAAGAGCAGGATCCATGCCCGGCAGCATCGCCCGGTGCCTCCGCTGGGATGGGGCCGGGTTCTGGCTGAGCCGGGGGTTCTTGGGCAGCGCTGGAAGGAAGATGGGAGATGAGGGTGGTGGGATGGGGTGAGGCCGGGGAGGAGAGAGGATGCACTCCTTGGCTGTGTGATCCATCGTGCCTTGGTGTTCACTGGAGAAGGTGGAAGAAGGAGATGGCCATGAAGGTTGAGGGTTGCTGGAGTTCTGTTCAATCCCTCCCCAGCGATGGGAAAAGTCGTGGCAGAAAGACCCCCAAGCCCAGCATCCTCGCCCCAAACACTTCTCCTTGCAGCCAGCTCCATCTGCATCCCACACGTGCCGCTGGAAGTGCCACCTCTGCGTGGACAAATGAGAGCAGACACAGTGCTGACACGTCCCCAGCGCTGAGCCGGGCCATAAACCAGCTTCCTGCCCTGCCGCACCACAGCGTTTGTGGGGCAGCTGGTGGAGGTGAAACTAAAAGCTAAAGAAAGGATGGGGAGGTTTTCGGGGAACTGGGACACGTGTGAAATCCGTGTGGAAATCTCTTCCTGTAATTCCCGACAGCTACGTGAGGGCTCCGGGAGAGTTCCTTCGGGAAAAGGCAGGGATGTGGGCTGCACCGTGCAGGGTCAGGAGCCTGGGGCTTGGGGCAGTGGGACCAGGCTTCCAGGTGGCTGGAAACATGGAATTGCAGAGGGTTTCACTGCCAGGGAGCCGGGATTCCCCACTGGAGCTCCGAGACCCAGGCTGTGCCACTCTCCCGGCAAAGCCGGAGCATCGGCAACCTTGGAGCCCCCTCTTCTCTGCCAGGCAGAGCCATCCACTGCCTCCGGCTTTCCTAGCACTGGGAATCATGTGTCTGCTGCTGGAAGGGAGCAAGGCAGTGGTATTTTAGCAGCGGGCCCTCTCCTATTTTCCTAAGAATCATCCATGCCAAATTCCAATAGAATTTCTTTTAATATTTGCGCTATTTGAGGAAAGCGTTGGGAAAGACAGATGGAAGCGTGGCTCAGATGGACGATCCTGGCTCCACGTGAGGCAGTACTCAGAAATCCCGTCCTGTTTCAAATAACTTGAATGTGACTGCATGGTTCCCTCTCACATCATTCCCCAGGAGGGCAGAACCCTCTGACTCCAGTGCATGACTCTCACCGGCTG